AAAAAAAAAAAGACTGTGGCTAGTGCCCCCATTTGAAAGTAGAACAGGGGTGGCACCTGTGGCTCAGTGAGTAGGACTCCAGCCCCATATACCGAGGGTGGCAGGTTCAAACCTGGCCCTGGCCAAACTGTAACAAAAAATAGCTGGATGTTGTGGTGGATGCCCGTGGTCCCAGCTACTTGGAAGGCTGAGGCAAGAGAATTGCCTAAGCCCAGGAATTGGAGGTTGCTGTGAGCTATGATGCCAAGGCACTCTCTGCAGGGTGACAAAGCGAGACTCTGTCTCGGGGAAAAAAAAAAAAAAGTAGAATGACAAATTATCTGCCACTGAGTCTCATCACTTTTAGTGTGAGGAAGATAGTGTGAAAAGCAACCCATAGACTCTATTGAACTTAGAACTCCAGTCATATGGATATTTTATCTTGCATCTTTAAAATTTAGGCTGGATGGAAAAAAATCATGTGTTATCAATCATCTTGATTTACCCTCTTAGAAGGAAAGAGTTCCATGTTTTATGTCCCAACTTTTTTATATTCTGACAGGATTTCATGCCTCACTACACCATGCAATTGTGAGGTAAATATGTAAATACACGTGTGTTTTGAAATAGAGATATTGGAATCTTTTCTGATTCCAGAAGATAAGGAACAGAGACCTAATTTTAAGTAGTGGCTAATAACCTAGAATTCTTTTGAGATAGGGTTTTGCTCTGTTACTCTGGCTATAGTGCAGTGGTATGGTCATAGCACTGTAACTTCAACTCCAGGGCTCTAGCAATTCTCCTGGTTCAGTCTCTCAAGTAGGTGGGATGACAGGGGTATGCTACCACACTTGGCTAATTAAAAAAAAAAAAAATTTTTTTTTTTTTTGAGAAAGAGTGTCACTATGTCACCCTGATAGCGATGTCAAACTTGTGAGCTTAAGTGATTCTCTTACCTCAGCCTCCCAAGTAGCAGCGACTACAGACCCCTGCCACAATGCCCGGCTATTTTTTTAGAGATGGGGTCTCATTCTGGCCTAGGCTGGTCTTGAACCTGCGAGCTCAGGCAATCTACCTGCCTCAGCCTCCCAAGTGCTCGGACTACAGGCATGAGCCTCCATCCCCAGCTAAGTTTTAATGTTTTGTAGAGACAGGTTCTCATCATGTTGCTGAGGATGGCCTTGAAATCCCAGCCTCAAATGATTATCCTGCCTCAGTTTCCCAATGTGCAGGGACTGCAGGC